ATCTGTTTGTATCGTCTTTAATTTCTTTCATCAGTGTCTTATAGTTTTCTGCATATTCATTCTTTTCTTCATGAAAAACATTCAGTTTTAGGATCACTGTGGCATGTAAAAGATGATTTCAGATGGATTATGCTGTAATGATTTATTGCTAATCTATACCTCAGATAATTATTCTGTAAATGGTCATTCTGTGTCTAATACTGTGAATCACACAATAGCTACTATTTTATGGCTGACTGACTACAATACAAGGAAAGCAGTTGTTAAATTTAGAGGCAATGTGAAGACAGAAAATTATTCATCCTTTTGAAACAAGATAGTGAAATTAGCTCATCAAGAACTTTGTCTCTTATGGGAAAAGGAGCAGTCTTGGTCTGGAAGAGGACTCTGCCTTTCTGCAGGGAGGCAACCATGCCAATATTGTCAAGTTTGAGCAGTCACTACTGACTTATTAGAAATAGCAGCCCGGGGGAAAGAAATGGGTCCCTCTGGAAAATCTGGGTGCCACAAGGAGTAAATGTATATTTTTAAATTTAGAATGTGGACATTTTTCATTATTTAGTAGAAGAAAGGGAGAACTGTTTTATCTTAAAAGAATGATTCTGTGGCACCAAAAAAAGTAGGTAAGGTTTAAAGTTACCTACTAGATCAAATAGTCCAATTTGATATTGCTCTAAAAACATAGCGAAATCACATAAAAAATGAAAAATACTACTAATTCATTTGTGGCCAAATACATCTGTAAAAAACTAAATGGGCTTCCAGAGGAATTGGTAACAAGAACAGTGGTCATGTATTCATGGGTAGGGCAGAGGGTGAAGCCAAGGGCACCTTAATATCTTCTGTTGGTAACTACAGCATTTCATGAAAAGTTAAGCAAATTTTTAAAATTATGTACTAAACATATATACTCTGCACATGTTTGAACAAGAAAATCCATTAATTATCTCATTGCACTCTGTTGAAAGCTATGACAGTCCATTCAGGAATTTGTGAAGTCTCTAGCAAAGGGATACACTCTAAATGTGGAGATTTCTGGGGTAAATTTTAAGCTTCTCTGCTAAATACTACCTTTTCCATGTATCTAGACTCAGGGGCTCCAAGAGATGACATGTAAGGCCAGAAGAGCTATTATTCATTTTCTTGAATATGCCTGAACATGACTAAATTACTAATCACACCAGTGAAGAAAGAATGAGATATGCTAATGAGTTTTTCCCTTTCAAAAATCGTTTAATGTTTTAATTAGTGGGGTTTATCACTTTTAAGATCTAAAGGGATTCTCAAAGTTTCATGTGGCCCAACAATATGTTTCACAAACTCTTAGAGGAAGAGAGAAGTTTGGCTGCATATTATATTTCCATAGTGGTTTGACGAAGTAAGTGTTTGTTTTTCTTCCAATGCAAGAAGTGTAGAGGCGGGCAGCCCAAAGTCAGCATTGCGCCAGCTTTACAGCATCATGAGCATCCTACTTTCTATCTTTCCGCTCATGGTTTCCTCATGGTTACAACATGGCTGCTCCTCCTTCAGGCTCACATCCACATTCCTAGCAGAAATCGGAAACAGAGTGACAAAGAAAACATGGCATCAGGGAAACAAAATTTTTCCAGAGATCTGTAGCCAATTTCCACTTATATTTCTTTGACTGGAATTGTGTCACACGGCCATGTTTAGCTACAAAGGAGACTGGGAAATAGAGTTTTATGTGTTTGATTTTTTTAATGCTAAACACATTGCTCCCTCCAACAAAACGAAGGTCTTTCTACTAGAAAGGAAGAAGGGAGAATGAATATTGTGTAGGCACCTCACATCATCTGCTGTGGTATCTTCTCTCTACCCTTCACCATTTTATATTGAGAAAACTAGATCAAGTGACTTACTCAATAGCACACAGCCAGTTCATGGCAAAGCTGGACTAAAATTCATGATTGCAAGTATCACGGGGCTGACCTGCTGACTGTGGAAGAACAGGTACCCCGTAGGAGCCTCCATCTGAGGTAGAGATAGCACCACGCCGGGGAACGATTCAAACGCGAAGACAAGGCCAAGATTCTAAGCAGCTGGAGCGGTCACCCCGTCTGGTTCCCACTTACATTATGCTTTTCTATGTTCTGCATTATGTTTACTCTGTTATAATAGGCTCATATGTGGGATCTTGGGTATTCAGTAAGTGCAAACATTGAACATTTAAAAATATTGTTATTCTCTATTGCCAGTCATTTGTTTCAGCACCTTTGAAGTCAGGTCAGAACATGCTTGTATATTATTACAATAAATTTGTTCTAAACTGCACCGAAGAGGATAATTAGAACAAATAAGATGGAGTTCAGTTCAGGATTAAGAAGAAACTTCTGATGATGAGTTAGATTATGTTGCTTGAGGTCAAGTACCTGCATTCTAGCAAGGCACTTTGCAGGTTCTAGGTATTAAATCAATACCTTTCCATTTGAAAGCTGTATCCAGAATTGCTCAGGACCACATCATGGATTATCATTCTTCCTCTGAGTAGGACTTTGTAGCAGATAACCTTGGAGGTGCATCTCAAGAAAAAATGTCATGATTTGATTATTAAAATATAGATTGTCAACATAGTTTTTTAAATTTTTTTTTTTTTTTGCCTAAGATGTCAGATAAACCCTTTTCCCACCTTGTGACCTTTGACGTGCAACTCCTTCTTCTTGAAATTCTCATCCCCCCAGTTTTTCACATTCTTCAGTTCAGATGTCATTCCTCAGAAAGGCTGCCTTTGACTAACATATCTGAAATAGCCCACACCCACTCATCAGAGATTGAGTTTGGTTCCCTACAGGATAAGCCATCAGCACACCTAACAATACATCTTTCTAACTGATTGATGCAGCCAATAACATGTTCAGCTTCGAAGATACCCGCTGGGGCTTTGGCATCTGCGATCTAGACTCTTTCTAATGCCCTCCAGATGAGTATTAGGGTACAGTCACACACACACACACACACACACAGAGACCCCAAACAATCATCTCTAGACAAACGTTTATCTAAATCCAGACTTTTAGAAATGTTTCAACATTATTTGCATTGTTAATAAATTGAACACAACACCTCAGTCTGAAATACCTGAATTTAGATGACTAAAATTAGATAATGGTAATTATTTCTCCCCACCCTCCCTAACATTTGATATAAAACATTCTTTTTAGTCTGATAGATACATAATGCCATTTTTCTGGCAAAAAAAGGTCTAGTCTCCACCAAAAACAAATGGATAGATAGATGGATAGATATCACACATACATTAACATATATCATTCATAGATGTTTATTCAGACTAAATCTTCTCACATCATTATAAACTTTGTTATTTTTAACTGCTTTATTATAATGAACATTTTAATACAAATCACAATTCTAATTTTAATCAGTTTCCTAAACTTCAATTTCAGTCATGAATTAAAAAATGAAAATATGTATACTAAGTCAAGATTTCAAAAAGTCGCACACTACCCCCATTCCTTTTTTTCCTTAATATCCAGACCTTTTGGTATGAGATCTAGGAATCTGAGTTGGTGGTTAGGATGTTTGAAAGTCTGAGGGAAGCTGACCAGAAATTGCTCACTAGAGGCAGAGGTACAGAGCAAACAAGAAGTCAAAACAATTTTCTCTCCATTACTGAGAATTTATAATATAAAAAGGGGGACAACTAACTGTAACATTTTACACATTCAACAAATATTTATCATTATCTACTGTACGCTAGGGACTGGGTGTATGTGGGAGCAAAATAATTATCCGTTCTCATGGAGTATTCAGTCTAGTGGAAAAGGCACAAATAACTAATGCAATTACCAAGTGGTGAAGAGTATGAAGGAAACAAATGATGCCAACAGACAGTAACACATAACTGTGCTACCTTTCAAGAGACCTAAAGCACAAAAAGATGCTCTCCGTGCAAAATTAGGAAGAAAGCATTCCTCAGAGTGATTTTAGCATTTTTACCTGGCCTTAATTGTGGTAGACTGAGAGAACCTGGTGAAAAGAGTGGCAGTGGAAGCAGGTGAGGTGGGATAGAGGGAAACAGGACAGGTACAGATGCCAATAGCTTTGTAGGATAAGCTAAGAGAAAATGAGAGCGGGACGACCTGCTAGAGCAGAGGAGAGATTTCAAAGCCAACAAACTGCCACACTCCAATGCATATGGCAGACTATGGAAGGCATTGCTTAGTACAGAACATGCCTCCCTAATGAATTTCATTGCAGTGAGCTGTTACATACTTTTATAAATATGTGAAGATGTTTTAGATAAAATATATGTATTTGATTCCACTTCTAGCATATCATAGATCCTCAATAAATGTGTGTTGAGGGCTTTCCTGGTGGCGCAGTGGTTGAGAGTCCACCTGCCGATGCAGGGGACATGGATTCGTGCCCCAGTCCGGGAAGATCCCACATGCCGCGGAGCGGCTGGGCCCGTGGGCCATGGCCGCTGAGGCTGCGCATCCGGAGCCTATGCTCTGCAACGGGAGAGGCCACAACAGTGAGAGGCCCACGTACCGCAAAAAAATAAAAAATAAAAAATAAAAGTGTGTTGAAATGAAATTCATCTGTTAAATTAACATTCTACCCAAATATTTCCCATTTCTTTTCTCACATTGAGTCTTTTCCCCTTGATATATTGTCCTCTATTATACTATGTTATATTTTTAATGAGTCAACAACACACAGGTATATTTCTAAAGTAAAACTGGCATTTATTTCTTTAAAAATTGGCAGAGCAGTAACATGAGTATCAATGCCAAAATAAAGATTAACTTATCATTAGAATTTATTAATATGAATCCCCTAATGGAAGTAGCTATTAATAGCAAAAACAATTATTGATGAATAAATATCAAGAGAAGGGTAAACAAGAATTGCTCCCTTTTATCCAAAAGTTATTTGGCACAGAAAGTCTTGTTTTGTAGATTTTATTACTACAGGTCAGGTTAATTACTATATAGCTAATTTTTATCATTTTAATGCAGGATTGTGGTTTGCTGATTCAACCAGAGGAAACCTGTGGGTTACAGCCTATTTCTTCTGACTACATTGAAGCCATTTCACAGCCGGGACTAAAGACCTGTCCATCTGGGGACACAAAAGGTGACTATTACACTGGATATCATTTCTACTTTTTAAAAAAAAATCCTTTAATATAGATAAGTAGTAGATGTTTATTTATTAAACTCTCCTTGTACAAAAATCAAGGTAATATGACACTTTTTCATTAATATGAACTACAACACATAAAATTAATGTAAATGCATTGTTTTAATATGTGAAATATTTTGATTAATCAAATGCTTTTCTTTTCATCCTCTGCTCTTTTCTTAGTTAATGCATATTCACCTTTGGATTCCAGCCAAAAAGTCACTTGTACCGTAATGCCTTCCTTGAGTCTCTGACTTGTTTTCCTTATTACATATTTTCATAGCACCCAGTGTTTTTCTTCCATGGCAATTTCCTCAGTTATTTAAATGATTAAATGTGTAATTGATCGTTTGATGTCAGTCTTCCTGGGCTGTCAGCTGCATGAGGGCAGGGCGTCTGAGTTGTTCACACTCTACCAATTCACTTAACACTATACTCTCCACAGAGTAGGTACAAAATAAGTTGACCTTGTGAACCCAAAGAACTGGAAAGGATACAAGTTCAGTTTTAAACCATTTCTTTTAGTTACAAAAAAAAATCTTTGGGAATGGTCACTAACATCTCTCGTATATTGAGCATGCATAGAGGCAGGAAAATCATGATGTCAAATTCAAATTACAGTGTTCAATCCTGCCTACGCCTAGGGCAGACCTGGAATGAGGCACTTTGGTGCCACTGTCTACTTCCCCTGTTTCTTTCCTTCCGCAGCACTATTCTTTCAGTGGAGGCTAGTGGCGTTAAGCCAAAGCTGGAACTAAAAATGCCTCCAAGGCAATAAGAGGAGGAAAGACCATCTTCTCTGCGATTCCTGGTTACTGCTCTGGCCTCCTGACCCCAAGTCTCCCTCCATCTAAAAAGTCTGAGAAAACACTCAGGAGCTTTTCTACCCTTGCCATGAACTTCACACCACAGCTTGAACAGGAAATGAGTTTCACAAATGGGTGGGACAAATTGCAATTTGGCATGCACGGTTAACAAACGTGAGCATTTCTTGAACATGTGTCCTAAATAATAAATTACAGTCAGTGCATAGGGAGGAATTTACCCATTATGGTGTGTCAGGTGGTATGATTTATGATTCTTGGCTAAATGAGATATATACTCTTATATACAAAGGAGACACCAATGTGTCTAGGTATTTTTTATCAGATGACAATTTATGAGAATCATAAAAACAACTTAATTCTGTTCCTCCTACTGAACCGAGTCAAAAGTTCTTCAACAAAAAGTTGAAGATACATTACTGAGATTCCTCAAGAAGTGGCAGCTTCTTCTGTCCATTAAACTTGCAGTAACTTATGCCAGGCCCTGTTCTGAAGCCATGCCTGGTCCTTACAGGAGAGGCTGCCATAAAACAGGGGCCTTGGGACTTCCCTGGTGGCACAGTGGTTAAGAATCTGCCTGCCAATGCAGGGGACACGGGTTCAACCCCTGGCCCAGGAAGATCCCACGTGCCGTGGAGCAACTAAGTCCGCAAGCCACAACTACTGAGCCCACGTGCTGCAACTACTGAAGCCTGCGTGCCTAGAGCCCATGCTCTGCAACAAGAGAAGTCACCACAATGATAAGCCCGTGCACTGCAACTAAGAGTAGCCCCCGCTCGCCACAACTAGAAAGACCAGGTGCAGCAATGAAGATCCAGTGCAGCCCAAAAATAAATAAAATTAAAAACAAAAAACAAAAACAAACAAACAAAAAAACACAGGGGCCTTCTGGTAACTTGAGTAGTTAGGCCTCTTTAAAGAAAAACACAATATTGACACCCCAGTCAAGTCCATATTCCTTAACCTGACAATAATCTGACCTCTCCTATCTCTCTCAACTCGTCCTAGCCTCTTTTTCTTCTTTTTTTTTGCTCTGCATTGGGTCTTCGTTGCTACGCATGAGCTTTCTCTAGTTGCAACGATCAGGGGCTACTCTTTGTTGCACAGCACACGCTCTAGGCATGCAGGCTTCAGTACTTGCAGTACATGGGCTCAGTAGTTGCGGCACGGGGGCCCTATAGTGCAGGCTCAGTAGTTGTGGTGCACAGGCTTAGTTGCTCCACGGCATGTGGGATCTTCCCGGACCAGGGATCGAACCCATGTCCCCTGCATTGGCAGGTGGATTCTTAACCACTGTGCCATGAGGGAAGCCCCATCCTAGCCTCTTGACCTCATTTCATGCTGATAATCAGCTGCAGGACTCCAGACTACTCCCTAGGAAGTCCTTCTTTACTACCCCACCCCCAGAGTTGCTTCTCTTCTATGCACCCAGAATATCCTGGACATATGTCTACAAATAGCACTCACCTCATTATATTTCAAGTATCTAATTTATATGTTTCTCTCTCTTCCTCTAATCAGTAGTATTCAAAGTGGAATACTGCAGCCATGCAAGGGGAGTGAGTGGCACAGAACAATCCACAGGGAAGAGGCCAGTAAAGATGAAAATATATGTACATTTATTTTTATTTAATTATGCTTATTTTTATGTTTTATGATGGATATGTATATATGTAATATATACATATAGGAGTAGGTGTACGTGTAGTACAGGGTAGGTGTATTAATATGTCAAAGGTGCATCAGCAATAAGCTTGTACTAATGGCTGCACGTAGATCACAAGTGTGTCCAGAGCAAAGATCGTACCTTATTCATCTTTCAGTGTCTGAGATATGATTTAAAAATAGTGGCTGAACTAAAACCACGATCCAAGCCCTCCTCTCTTTCACAGAAGACTCTTAGCAGTAGGGCACAATCAGCTAGAGACAACAGCTCCGTCCTTGAGGTCCTAGAGACCTAAAGATTCAAGGCAAATGAGTGAGATCAGAGACAGCACTTTGCAAGAATGCACTTTTTTTTTTTTTCTTTGCTGTCAGAGATGATTTCCTTCCTTGATGGTAGGACTCCCTTCTATAGAAAGAAGTTGTCACATTAGATGACATTGGAAGGACGTTTATTTTAGAACTCTTGCTTTAGCTTATAAGGCCATAGAATGGCTCCAAAATCTTATTTTCACAGCACATTACAGTTATTTGGCAGAACTGAATCCATTTTTTCTACTTGAAAAATGTTTTTTCAATAACACTAGCTAATATAATTTTGAGTGACTTTTTTTTACTAAGTTGAATTCTAGCCTTTTGAAAATAGTTTAACTATAAGACACAACCTAAGAATAAAATCTTTTGCTCAGTAAAGAAAAAATAATTCTTCTAATTTTCAGAAATAAGAAATTTATATGATCATTGAATGAGAATTACATTTAAAGAAAATAATTTAGATTGCATTTTATAATATGTAAACAAAAGCTTTTATCGTATCTTTTTTTTTTTGCGGTACGCGGGCCTCTCACTGCTGTGGCCTCTCCCGTTGCGGAGCACAGGCTGCGGACGCGCAGGCTCAGCGGCCATGGCTCACGGGCCCAGCCGCTTCGCGGCATGTGGGATCTTCCCAGACCGGGGCACGAACCCACGTCCCCTGCATCGGCAGGCGGACTCTCAACCACTGTGCCACCAGGGAAGCCCTATCGTATCTTTTTTTGGAAGGAAATATAACAACTTACACTTTAATATTTCTAATATTGAAAATCTAAATGTATTTTTTCTTCTTAAGTATAAAAACTGCCTTATTTTATAGCATTATAGAGTCAGGAATTAGTGCTGTCATTTATATGATTTTACATCTCACCATGGCCCTAAATCACAAAGTCGAACTTCTTTTCTCCATTATATCACCTAATCCAACTCACTTCAATGGCTGAAATTTAACTTGCATTAAATATAAAGCTATAATGATAAATTATATAACTTCTCCCAAAAGGCAATTTCATTCCTCAGAATGTTATTCCCTAAGACATATGTCATACTTTATTTCAGAAATCACAGCTTTGATTCATTCATTGTTTAAATATATAACACAGAATTTACGTACTTCTTCTTGACAATTTTTGTTGAGCTGGAATCATTTAAAATGTCAAGAAAGCCCAGTCCTGCAGATGTTATACAGATGTCTATTTCAAGTAGTATTACTAACTCCAAATAAAAAAGGCATTATTAAGTGATATAAAAATGCAAAGAGTTATGACTATAAATATATAGTAGTATGAACCATTAGAGCTAAGTTTTCAGAGACCCAATCAGGCATCCTTTTTTATGTGCATGTGACTTTATGCCCACAAACTAATACATATTTGGATCTTTGTGCATGGAACTGGTCACTCGTTTCTTCAGCCTTAGCAGCAAATGGCCAAAGATCTTGGTTTGTGCAAAACTAGCTGTCAACGAGTTTGGGAGTTGGATGAGGAGACAGTATTTGGGGAGGGGATACACACGCTGTTAGATACTCAAGGATCTGAGGAAAACTGAGACCTTCAAAGTATTATTAAATAATATCTCATTTTCAGAAACACATTTATGTCCCCAACATACCACCGTCTTATGAAAAAGAAAATTAAGAATCTTTTTAAAAACACAGTCTCTGAGTACATGAACCCACTGAATAAATCCAGCTTTTAAAAATAAAAATACATTTATTGCGACAACCTGTTTGTGGTTTTCTTCTATGAGTGCTACCAGAGAGACTGCTGAGCCATATTGCATTTTCAACTGATGATTATGTGCTGACCTAACCTAACGTGATAAAAGGATCAGCACACTGGAGACTCTGAGACCTCGATTTTGGTCCAGCCCTGTTATTGGCATGATTCCACTTCTGTCATTTAACATCTTGGGCCTCAGTTATCCTCACTCTAAAAGAAAAGGATGGAAAAGAGGAGATCCCAGGCCCCTTCCGACTGTATCCACAACCAACAAAATCTCTATGAAAAAAAGAGACTCTTTCAGAAGGAGGTTTTCTTGAGGAATTCATCGACGAAGGATAAACTTAAAGGCCGTGTCTAAATCAAATAGTATTAGCAGCCAAACAAAGATGTGAAAGATGTGGATTATTGGTTACAAACCCCGTATGCCAGGGCAAAATTAGAATTAGAAAGCAAGATATATTCTGAATGAAAACCGCAGAAGAATTATAAAAGAGAATTGGATGGAGAAACAGACGCTTTTGAGAACAGTCTTCATTTTGCCATTCAAACCTCAGCACCGCTCCCAAATGTTCAGTGTTGTATCTTTAAGTATTACTGCTATTCTCTCCATCTACAAACTTGGAAACACCTTTCACCGAGCAGACCTTCTTTTTCTCTCCAGTATATAGGGTCTGTCGTGCAGAGCAGTCACCCTCCTGTCAGGTCTGTCTCCACTTAAAATCATCCATTCCACCTCTCCGAATCTTATCTATTCACAAACCCCTCTTCACATCTTATCTGCTCCGTGGAACCTGCCAGACAACTCTGACCCCCATGGTGCTGTCTTTATTCTGAACTGCCATGGCTTGCTTAGGGTGAAGTTGAGTGGGGACGGTAAAATATATTCATCAATTTCTAGTATAAAGGCACTGTGGCCGATGCTCTACATATTTTTCTTAAAGAGAAGTAAATGTAATCATGAAAAGGTTAAGTATAATTTGTCCAAGGTATACAGTGGTTCTCAACCTTGACTGCTTATTGGAATCACTTGAAAAACATTAAAAAAAATACTGATACCTGAGTTCCATATCCAGTGGTTCTGAGGTAATCAGTCTAGGGTACGACCTGAGCATGAGGATTTTAAAAACCTTTCCAGGTGACTTTAATGTACTGAGTTGAGGTCCACAGAGCTACCTGGAAGGAGAGCCCAGTTGTGTGTGTCTCCAAAGCCCATGCTCTTTGAGTACCACACTGATATTTTTCCTTAATTATGAATTACCTATTATTAAGCTTTTTACATGTATAAATTGTACCCTTCTCACATGATTATAATTTTTGAGGTTTCACATTATAATCAACAGCATGGACTCTGGAGCTGACTCTTCAGCTCCTGTCCTGGGTCTACCACCTCCTAGCTGGAATATATTGGACAAGTAACTTAACCTTTCTGAGTCCCAGTTAAGTCATTAGCACAATGGGGGTGATAATAGGGTGTCTCTGAGTTTAAATAAGTTAATATATTAAAGTGCTCAGAACATCCCTGACATCTGAGAGGTGCTATAACAATGTTAACTATTTCTTTCTTAGTTATTACCTTATTTTAACAACAAGAGTGCCTAATACCTAACAGGGTACATACTTCAACACTGTATTGAATGAAAATCCTCCTAGATGGAGAGTGATATGTATGTAGAGAAATGGAAGGTCATTCACCAGACCTGAAATTGTGGAGATAGTATATTTAATGGGTAGATATTGAATAAGGCAGTTTTCTGGAATTCACATTAAGTTTAAAAATCAAAGCAAAGAAAAAATTGTATGGTAAGAGGAATAAACAAGTCCACATTACTTTTGGACTGTCCAGTAGCTCAGCTCTCTGCTCCTGTTGGCACAGTCCTCCACTAAAGCAATTCTGTTGTGTGTATTCATCTCTTCCTTGGAAGTCATACTCTTCTTGCCTCCTTTTCTTTCTATTTCCTTCTGTTTCTCCCAGTTTCTCTCTCTTAATATACCCATGCTTTTTTTTTTTTTTTTTAAATTGGCGTATAGTTGCTTTACAGTGGTGTGTTAGTTTCTGCTGTACAACGAAGTGAATCAGCTATATGTATACATATATCCCCTCCCTCTTGGACCTCCCACATCCCCTCCATCCCACCCATCTAGGTCACCACAGAGCACCGAGCTGAGCTCCCTGTGCTATGTAGCAGGTTCCCACTAGCTATCTATTTTACACATGGTAGTGTATTTATGTCCATCCCAATCTCCCAATTCATCCCACCCCCGCTTCCCCCCACCATGTCCACAGGTCCGTTCTCTAAGAAGTCTGCATCTCTATTCCTGCCCTGCAAATAGATTCATCTGTACCATTTTTCTAGATTCCACATGTACGCGTTAATATACGCTATTTGTTTTTCTCTTTCTGACTTACTTCACTAGGTATGACAGACTCTAGGTCCATCCATGTCTCTATGAATGACCCAATTTCATTCCTTTTTATGGCTGTTCTGTGATCAACCAGTAAGAGCTATAAAGTAGATCTCTCTCTGTATTTTGTTATTTGTAACTATTTCCACACACACAAACCCTCACATACACAATTCTGACATCCCGGAGTCATGAAATTTAACATGAAGCCTATTAATCCCCTGAAAGTAGAAATTCTTCCTGCTAAAATTAGTGTCACACCAGATACTTTTGTTAGCAGAACCATAAATCAAAGCCAGAGTGGATAAACTTGTTAAAAACTTTCCTTTCTAACTCAAAAACTATCTGGGAATATTTAGCTCCTCAATATACTTTTTTAAACAAAGGTTTTTCTTTCTTTATTTATTTGGCTGTGTTGGGTCTTCGTTGCTGCGTGTGGCGAGCGGGGGCTACTCTTCATTGCGGTTCGCGGGCTTCTCATTGTGGTGGCTTCTCTTGTTGTTGCAGAGCACGGGTTCTAGGCTCTCAGGCTTCAGTAGTTGTGGCAGGTGGGCTCAGTAGTTGTGGTCTGTGAACTCTAGAGTGCAGGGTCAGTAGTTGTGGCACACGGGCTTCATTGCTCCGTGGCATGTGGGATCTTCCTGGACCAGGGCTCAAACCCGTGTCCCCTGCATTGGCAGGCGGATTCTTAACCACTGCACCACCAGGGAAGTTCCATAGCTCCTCGATATTTTGAAGAGAAACATGAAGCAGTAACATAAGCAAGACCTATTGGGTAAAGCAGATGATTGTTGAAGACATCAAGGTATTCTCCACAAAGGGCACAAATAACTGCTCCATGTTTAACATGCTGGTTCACACTCCGTTCCTGAAAAGATGAACAAGGAAAAAACAAAAATCAAAAGTCATTTCATGATATTTTTCTAATAAATTATTAATGTGTCCACTCACACTAAAAGCTGCAGTGTTTTGAATGCATGTTACTTTATCAATAAAATAAGAAAGATCTTAAATGCAGCTTTTTGACAATATTCATTTATCTTATAAACATTTACTAAAGTTTGTGCCCTACTTTGTGCCTGAAATCAGCTGCTAACAAAGGTGAATATGATGTGGTAACTGTGCTGGGTCCTTTAAATACATTATCCCATTAAATCCTCATACCAATCATGTGAGGAGAACAGTACACACCTCATCTAACAGATGAAAAAATTAAGGTGACAGAGCTAGAAGGAGGTGAAGAGATTCACAGCAAAAAGGCCACCGATCAAATTAAGGAGCAATCGCTATTCTTCAAAACAATAAATTATCAGAATATTAAAGTAATTGTCTTATCGTATCTTGAATCTCTGGAGAGCAGAGAATGTAACTATAATTGGATTGGTAACCTAAGCATGTGTTAGGCTAGGAAATATGTGTGGCCAACCACCTCAGTATCAGTGGCTCCCTATATACTTTGGTCCTATTAAGTGCCCCGTGTACCGTTTGAAAATAAATAATAATTGAGTAGTACCCAATCACTTTAATTTTTTTTTAAGTATGTGTTTTTACGGGACGGAATTCATACTTGACTTCAGCATGAACTGTGTTATTTCAAAACATTACTACTTTGGGGCTTCCCTCGTGGCGCAGTGGTTGGGAGTCCGCCTGCCGATGCAGGGGACATGGGTTCGTGCCCCGGTCCGGGAGGATCCCACATGTCATGGAGCGGCTGGGCCCGTGAGCCATGGCCACTGAGCCTGCGTGTCCAGAGCCTGTGCTCCGCAACGGGAGAGGCCACAACAGTGAGAGGCCTGTGTACCGCAAAAAAAATAAATAAATAACATTACTACTTGAGATTCTGTTAGGTCGGCAGGAGGCCATGAACTTGCCCCCACTGGGTTTATGTAAGAGTGGTCTCCTCACTGTGACTTCTGTAATGCTGTGCCATCGCTGAATTCTAGACTTACTTGCAAACTGTAATTTCACCCGTAGAAACTGAACCAAAGAAGTTTTGCTGTCTCTTCCAGGCCAGTGGATCGTGCCTTGCCTTAGCTGTTCAGACAACAGGACCTGTGACTGGAGAGAAATCACTTGGCAGCCTCACAACTGTCACTATGGTGTCCTAACTAAGCCTCAGCTCCAGCAGTGCCTGGGAGGAAGGAAGGTAGGCTCTGGATCAGTGGGGGATACCTTTCATTTACACCACCCACAGCACCAAAACTGTACCTACTAGACCAATTCCTTCTCCCTCACTCTGCAGAGGACAGCTAACTGAGCGCAGTTTGGCTTTTTGAATGAATGCATTATCATAGAAGAGCCTTAATAATTTTTGCTCACAATGCTCAGTTATTTCCAAATAAGTCTGCTTGACAGATTGAGGCTCTAAAAATCATGTCCTATGCTGACCCAGTTCCATGCTGGTTTTCTCAGCCACATGGGTAAGAGCTGGCCATGTCAACTGACAGTTGGCGATTCAGAGCATCTGGCCTTGTCAACTGCAGCTCTTGCAAGGCACTGCAGTTAAAACAGCCATCTGTGGCTCGCACAGGCAGTAGAATGTTCCTGCATATAGGACTTCTGCTCCAGCTAACCCAGTGCATAGCATGGTTTTTACACACTAACCTTCCTGATCTTCTCTCACGTTCCCGAGCAGGTCTCGCATGGACCTCGCTAGGCTGCTTTTCCTTAGTGTGTCTTCTAAGCTGATCTCTTGGACATGCAGTGTCTCCTTGCTAGGCATGCTCTGACTAGGTAGATTCTGGCAGAGCTCTCGGATGTGCGAACTAGGCACTTAGACTGAGATGCTTGGTTAACATGAAGTAAGTAATCCTTCTGCAGACTTTCAAAGTACCTTTTATTAGATGGACATTTCCTTACAAACTGTTTGCAAGCTCTCAAGCACGGGCAAGACTGATTTCAAAAACTGATTTTTTAAAGAAGCTCTATGATTCATAAAGTGCAGTGGAGTAAATATATGTCAATTTTTCAGATTAGGCCTATGTTCAAATTTTCTACCAGCAAATGGTTTAAAGGAGAATGACAGGTGGGAGAAGCACGCAGGGGAATGGACCTCTTCTTCATGGAGATTCTAATATAAATGCCCCAAAGTTCGTGACTGAGAGGATATCTAAAAATAAAGCAGCAGTATTAGTTAGTTTCAAAAAAGGGAAGGGAAGAAAAGAAATGTCAGAAACTTCTGTTGCTGTATTATTAAGTGAGCATTGATTCTGTGCGAAGAACCGTGCTACTGACTTGTTCACACCTTAAATCCTATCTGACTTTGAGCTTTAGGAGGGCAGCCAGTGTGTTTGATTCACTACCATAATCTCCTTGCTTGGCACAGCGTTTGTAACATAATAGTCACTTAATAAATATCTGTTGAGTAAATGAATAAGTTAAAATTTTATTTATTCCTATTCACAAGTCTGTAAGGTAGATAGTTTTAGATCCGTTTTCTACTTAAGAATATTAAAGTTCAGAGAGATTGAGTAATTCACCCGTGATCACACATGTATGTAAGTGGCCACTACTCAGGCAGTTTGAACCACCAATTTGGACAACCCAACTTCCATATCCTAGAAATGTAGGACTGGAAACAATGAAAATAGTCCTTGTCATAAGTCAGACTTCTCCAAACTCTTTCAGAATCTCGTTCTGACCTCAGGAAGATTCCGAGATGTCACCGTCTATTAACCTGAAAGTCAATAGCTGTTAAAGTTCATCACAAAAGTCCATGGCTTTGGACAGGACACATTGTTTCTCAGGCTCATTTTCTTCATCTGTAAAAGAAGAATAAGTCTATATGATCTAATCCCATGCTGTAGATTAATCAACTTTGTGGAAAGCTAAATGCCTTCCCTGTCAGTCTTAAAATACCATAGCCTGAGTGACTTAAACAGATATTTATTTCTCAACAGTTCTGGAGGCTGAGAAGTCCAAGATCAGGGTGCCAGCACAGTTGGGTTCTGGTGAGAGGCCACTTCCTGGCCTCTGTTGGCTGCCTTTTTGCTGTGTCCTCATAAGGGAGAGAGACAGAGACAGAGAGACCTCTAATGTCTTCCTCTTCTTATAAAGACACTAATCCCATTATGGGGCCAACACCCTCATGACCTCATCTAGACCTGATTACCTTCTAAAGCTCCACCTCCTAATACCATCACATGGTGGGCGGGTGTGGAGGGGGGATATTAGGGTTTCAACATGTGAATTTCGGGAGGACACAAACACTAAGTCCACAATACCGTCTTTGTTCATTTCAATTATTAGCAACTCTACAAAGTAATGACAAGAAAAAGGGAAGATCTCTTCTTCCTATGCGTTAGAGAGAGAGATGATGTTAGAGTCTGAAAATAAAGGCCGGTGTTCAGATCAGGCGATCCCCGCAGAGACCAACCAGCTGGCTGCTAGGAAGTGAGGGCTTGTCTTAGTGATTCTTTGGGTCCAGAAGTGTCCTTCAGAATTGCAACCTCAGAAACTCAAATTTGCCAGCATACTGGCAGTGGTCCTACAGAGTCTGCTGTGTTTATCAGGATGCCAATTTACTTTATATCCAGCAGGGAAGCATTGTACATTTTTAGCAGAGCAGCGGCACAACCAGAATTAGAAAAACCATCCTGCAATAGTATGGAGACTGCCTACGGCAGGAAGAAATGGGCATGGTGCTGGGGGGGCAGAGACTGTTTAATGGAAAAATTCTATCACGCCACACTGAGGAAGTCAAGAATACGTATACAATAATCTCATCAATGCAAAACCTAATGCAGACATGCTTACACACACAGAATATTTCTGGAAGTAACAAACCCTTAAGAATGATTACATAAGTTGGACTTCCCCGGTGGCACAGTGGTTAAGAATCCGCCTGCCGATGCAGGGGACGCAGGTTCAATCCCTGGTCCGGGAAGATCCCACACGCCGCGGGGCAACTAAGCCCGTGCGCCACAACTGCTGAGCCTGCGCTCCAGAGCCCATGAGCCACAACTACTGAGCTCGTGCACCTAGAGCCCGTACTCCGCAACAAGAGAAGCCACCAGAGTGAGAAGCCCGTGCACCACAATGAAGAGCAGCCCTCGCTCGCCACAACTAGAGAAAGCCTAAGGGCAGCAATGAAGACCCAACACAGCCATAATTAATTAATTTTTTTTAAAAAAGAGTGATTACGTAAGTGGAGGGGAGTAGGGGAGGGGTGGGATGGTGGCAGGATTGGCCATATATTCTGCCAGGCCCAGGCCAAAACGGAAGTGCAGGACCCTGTGTTCAGTCATTATTAAGAATTTTGAGAAGGCAAAAGCAGAGCAATAAACCAAGCACAGGATCCTTTTACACACAGACCCTGTGTGAATGCCAAGGTCATATGGCTGTGAAGCCAATTCAGGTAGTAAATTATGGTTGGCAAAGTGTGAAGAAGTCTTTTGAAATACAGGTTCCCCCCACTATCCAAAAGTAGAGCGCTTCTGGGCTTCCCTGGTGGCGCAGTGGTTGGGAGTACGCCTGCCGATGCAGGGGGCACGGGTTCGTGCCCCAGTCCGGGAGGATCCCACGTGCCGCGAAGCCTGCGGGCCATGGCCGCTTAGCCTGCGCGTCCGGAGCCTGTGCTCCGCAACGGGAGAGACCACAACAGTGAGAGGCCCGCGTACTGCAAAAAAAAAAAACAAAAAACAAAAGTAGAGCACTTCTATGAAGGCTTTCGTAAATCGAAATGGAGGACGGTGAAGAGTATCCCCGATTTTCGGAAAGTTTAATTGACAACGCTTTGCTTTTCTGAAAGACCTATATTAGTACCTATTTTTGCTAACCAAAAGAAATCCGAAGAGGACTTTCACTTTTAGGAAAAATGCCTCTCTTAATGTAGGTCTTTCAGAAAAACGAAGTGGCATAAATTGAACTTTCGGAAAGCAGGGGATACACGTATGTGTGTTACCTTTATGTTTACAATGTGTGAGCACCTTTTTAAATCCCAAAATCTATATTTTGAAAAGTTGTATAAATCAGAACTTGGGCAGAGGCCATGGAAATGCAAAGAAGGGAAAAACTGAGAAAGACATTTTATATTCTGAATCACAAGACTTGGTAATGTGCAGACAGGTTTATACCCTCATGTACCACACAGCACAGAGATAACTGTGTAAACATTCACGATTACAACTATGAAATCGCACTTATTTTAAGAAAGCTTCACTTATGAATAGGAGTTGGTTAGCAGAACGTTTTCCCTAAACATCTATTTCTCATTCTCCTGGAGAAAAATATAAACATACAAAGTGATGGTGAAACTCTTATATTTCATTACTGAGGCAAGGGAGTTCTCATCCTACCCTGAACTTTTTATAATCACCATTCTATTTCAAAGACAAATACATGTTAAAGCATATCAGTTACAAAAATTGAGAAACAAGTAACACAAATATTTTGTTTTATAAATACCTGACTCTTTTGGGGGGTGAGGTGCAGGTAGGGGACTCTTTTTGCCATGTCAAACATTCAAGAAAAGAGGCATATTATTTGGGTGATATCATCCAGAAATTCACTTCACAAATGCAAAAGGACAGCAGTTTCAGACTGGCACTCAGGAATGAAGTGACTCTTTTATTCATGGAAGGCATCAGAGTAACTCTGCTGCCCCACATCAGAAACCTTGCAATCTCAGTTATCCCTAACATGTTCTCACAGAGTGGAATCCAGCTGACCACTTAACACAATTAAGCCCAGAACACTTTTTCAACTTTTGGGATGTCACCTTGTTATTCATCCATCTAGTTTTGTTGAGCTAAGAATCTGTTCTACGTGTGCACACCACGATCCTCCAAGGTGCCAGATTTCTAGTGGAAGAAGACAAATGAGAGAAGTGATTGTTACAAAATCTCATGATCATCGCAAAGGTTGGGAGAAGCCCAGAGGCTGGCACCTGACCTGGACTGGGAAGGTCTGGAAAAGTTGCCAAAAGAGAAGGTGCCTGAGCAGAGTGGTGTTGGTAGTTATAGGCAATCTACCAATCACATGACTTTGAAATAGTTTAATTGAATGAGAAAAAAAATAAAGATCTTCATTTTTTCTCAAAAGAACCTATGGTGAGGGTTGTATCACTCAAGCTTAGTGCCTTTTTTGAATTTTCTCTTACTGGAGGGAACAGACAATGGGCAGGAACCAAGCAGGCAAGGAGTGCAC